AGCCCTGCACTGCCTCTCTCCTAACTATTCCATGAAAGAGAAGTCCATTTCTATCTGTATAAGCCACCATTCTTAGTGTCTATTACATACAGCCAAACCAATATCCTAACAAATATATTAATACCTTAAAAGAGGAATATAACTTATTAATAACAAATAACAGCAATGGAGCATATAACTAAAACAACCTAAAGATTTCACTTCTAGAGAATTGAACCTTAGACATTCCACTGAATTTTAGATCAAAGTCAAAAGTTTATCTTATATAAACAAATAGGCATACAAAAAAAAAAACAAAACAACTAAAAAGCACCATATCACACAGTCATTCAGTTTTGACAATGGCTGTGAGAGAACAGTTAGAAGAATGGAATACGGAAGTGAGAGGAAAGAACAGGTGCCTGCATGATCTAGCTGCCTTTCTTGTCCAGTGTTCCTCATCAAAACCACGAGACACATAAAATGACCTGTGCGACTTTCCCAATTCTCCCAGGAGTGGTATATAACTAGTACCATTTTAGTTGCCTAGCAAAAAAATTACTTCATACATGATGGCTGCCTCTGAGCACCAGGACTTCATCCTTTCATGGTAGTCTGGTTGAGTGTCTTGATTAACTTAACATTTTGATTAACTGAATGTTTTCATTTTCTTAATCTCAAATTTAAGTTTTCTAATCTGTAAAATGGGGATCATACTAGTTCGTACCTTATAGTTGGGAGGATTAAATGAAATAATGCATGGGCAGTGCTTAGCATAGGATCTGGCATGTGTTAAGTGTTCCACAAGAGTTAAGCTCTCATCATCATCATCACCACCACCACCACCATCACCACCATCATCATCACCATCATCATCACCACCATCATCACCACCACCACCATCATCATCACCACCACCATCATCACCACCATCATCATCACCACCACCACCATCATCATCACCACCATCATCATCACCACCATCACCACCATCATCACCACCATCATCACCACCACCATCATCATCACCACCATCACCATCATCATCATCACCACCATCATCACCACCATCATCATCACCACCATCATCATCACCATCATCATCATCATCACCATCACCACCAACATCATTATCACCACCACCATCATCATCACTATGCCTGGATATCTGATTGTAAAAAGAATATAAAATAGTAGATTAGGCTTCTCCTAATCATAATTCATCTTTTTCTGCACTGAGGAGTACTTTCAGAATTTTGCCAGACCTTAGGGAAGCCTGGTATTAAGCTGAAGCATATGAAGTTGCCTGTATTCAATTGTATTTGACCTATTCAAATGGCAACTGCTCAACTGCTCTTGAAGCAAACCAGGTTCTACAATTGACAGTTACCATATGCTGCCTGGACATTTTTATTTTACATGAAGAGTAGATGCAAAACAAATCCTCTCCACAAGGAAGCCCAGCGTGGCCCAGCAAAGGAAGGAAGGAAGTCCAGAGGATAAGACAAGGTAGATGGTGCCAGGTGTGGGAAATAGCCTCTAAGGACCAACCTCCCTTTCTGTGCTTTGTGCTCCTGTCGGGCTGGACCACAGCGCCCCACTCTCCCAGCCCCCAGCCTCTGTATAGCTGAGGTTTCCAGGGCTGCTCCCTAGTTGCGTCCTCATGTTTCAACCACCACCTCGTGAGAAGTGTTCTCTCCACCTGCACACCCCCTCGGTCCAGCCAGGGTCATTGTGCCACCTCTTGAGCGGAATTCCACAAGAGCACATCCACTCTGAACTGCCACTCCTATTGGTCACCATGTGTCTCTCCCTGAATGAGAGCCCCTTGATGCCCGAGCCTTATCCCATGCCTGGCACCCAAGGGGTACTCATGAAATATCTATTGAACTGAAAAGAAGCTAGTCCCCCACTCTGCTTTTAGGCTGGGCTCTCTCTAAGAGATACACTCGTTGATGAGGGTATAGGCTATTTTCAGGGACTCCAAAGCAAGGTCACTTCACTTTCTCAGAAACTGCTTCCAATAGTAAGTGACCCCTTCACTCAACAGTGTTCACTCTTCAGCTCTCTGCTAAACACTTTCTGCTCTGTTCTTGGGTTATGCCGTGAGTTTTAAATGCCACCACCCCAGCTGAACCTCCAGCTTCCACAACAAACACTCCTCTTGTCCCTTAATAGCCCCCGAAACAAATATGAATTAAAACTTAGAGAGATTTGACCTCAGCCTTCGCATTTCTAGGAATTTATCCTAAGGTGGGATTGCAAAAGTTTGCAAACGGGCAAAGTTGAATGTAAAAGGATGTTTATTATGGAATTTTTAGTCAAAAATGGGAAATAACTCAAAAATCCATTAACTGGGAACTAACTAAACAAATAAATTGTATGCATACAATGGGATCCCATGTGCTCATCAACAACGACAGTGCAAGTATGCACTTATTGAATTGAGAAAATACCACCAGACAAGACCTAAACATAAACTTTAGTAGGTCAGGGAGAAAGAGCAAGAAAAGAATTCAACACACAGGATTCTAGAATGCTGTGATGAAACAAACCTCAGGGACCACAGCACTTTTTAATGCTAAATACTTCTTTTCAATCACACCTGATAAGAGCGCTTTCCGTGTATGCTGGTAATGTTCATAGCGAAGTAGGATGCAGAACAGCAAGTATAATATGATGCAGTTTGTGTAAAAAAAAAATGCACAGAAAGATTCCCAAAGGAATTTTTCATCAAAAAGATAGTCAGGTGGGATTTGGCATTAATTTTACTTTTGTTTATATCCTTTCCTATATTGATTTACATTTTTATAAAGGCTGTATATTATTTTTCATTCAGCCCAAACTGTAAAGCTCTTTTTGTTTTGGAAAAAACTAGCATGTGGAACAAAGAGGCTCTCAACAAATACCAGTAAATGGAAACTGATGCACAGTCCTTTTTGAACTCTGCAGGATTTATACAAATGCCATGAATAAAGGAAGAGCCAACAGGCCTTACTAAATGTTATATTGCACAAAAATGCCCTAGCCTGTTCTCTGAGTACACACCAAGGAATTGATGCTGCTACTGATGTAACAATACACATTAGTGAAGTCCTGTACAGTTTCTAAAGGCTTTCACTTTCAGTGTCTTGTTTGGCCTTCAAAACTAGACGTGTGACTAGTCTCCCAAACAGAACTCCCCAAATGTCTGTCTGGTCCCCATTAGGCAACACTTCCTGGTTAGGGTTGGCACCATTGTTTGTTGGATAGATAAGTGAGTGGATGGATGGATGGGTGGATGGATATAAGAATATATTCTTTTCCCTCTTTTACAGACAAGAAAACAGAGAAGCAGACGTGAAGTGACGTGCCTAATGTGATATAGTGGGTGAACGATGAAGTCAGTGGTTGGACCCTGTATGGTTTCCTCATCAGCTTTCTTTTATCCAAAATGCACCCTAAACCCTGTTTTCTTCAGGAGGAAATACTTCAAAATCACTGATATATACTTGATCATCAGGAGTTATAGTCAAAATATCGATGGCTTGGGAATTGACCTTTCAAATACCATCCATCATGGCACTGGTGTAGGATCCTGGAGACCTCCCACTCTGCCAGGCAGTAACCCATTAATCACTGGATGTGAGTGGATCCCAGGTGTCAGAAGGGCACTCGGTGGGCTCAGGATAAGAGCTCCTCAACTATAGGTATGAAACTATTTCATTATTTTAACAATGAATGCAGTCATACAAGTGCATAATGGTTGGCTATAAGCCTTGCTATAGACCCTCCGCAACACTAGATGGGTTGCTACCCATGTGAGAAATTCTGCTCTCTGTCCGCTCCTAGCAGAGCCCCCACTCCGGGCACTGTTTGTACTGCCACTTAAAACCTTCATCCTAATGAATCCAATCTGCATGAATTAACAAAATCAAATGCTACTCTTTTCTTCTGAAAATTATCCTGAGCCTAACTGTGGTAGGATATCAGGGCAGACATCTGGAGGGAAAAAAAGATAATTGCAACGAGGGAAAAAAATGTGCTAAAATATCAAAAAAAAAAAATGCATGAGACACAATAACACAACACAAAAGACCAGTTCTAGTCATGAACCCAGAATTCTCTGAATATACACATGTTGTTTTAAGTGCATTTTTGCTCTCGGCACTAGGTAAGATTCTGAAAGGCAAGAAGACTGTCCCTGGCTTCAATCTGTTCATAGTTAAGGCAGGAGAAGCATCTGTAAGGAGCTGTTATATAAAGTGTAAAGTTCAGAGAGGACAAGAATTCTGTGGAATTCAGAGGAAGCAGAGTTTATATCCACCAGAGGAAATCCAGGAAGACTTCCTGAGGAAGGTGGCCTTGACCCTGATCCTCTTCAGAATACCAGTGGCACTTGTACTTGGGGAGGAAGGGAAATGTGCCACCAGAGATCAACACAGGCCAGTCTTGAAGCAAACATTATTGTCCAAGACATTTGCTTGCAAAATATGCAAAATGGACATTGTAGACACTTTACTGACTATGTCATTTCCAAATGCGCCATGCTTTCTCACGTCCCGGCCTTTACTTGAGCTGTTCCTGTTATCTGGAAGATTCTCCCTCACCTTCACTTCTACTTCCACATTCAAGCATGTTCTTTCCTATTCATCCTTCATTTCTCAGCTTAGACATACTTTTTCTAAGAAGCCTTCCTTGATCTCCCCAAATGTGGATGAAATATCTCTCGCTACCTGGGCTCTCCCAGTACCCTGAGCAGACCCCTATCCCAATACCTATAACACCCAAATCATAATCACCTATGTTGTTATTGATCAATACTTATCTGTAAGCACACTGAGAAAATAATCTGTTTAGATGCATTTTTGTGAGCCCAGTGCCTAGTAAAGCACTATCCTCAGAAATAGTTATCCAATGATTGAATTTTTAAAAATGATTCAGCAGCAATCCTGTACCAGAACCCCAAACCCATCCCCAGTCTGAGCTGATGACATACCCATGTAATTCTACCAAATCACTTTGCAGATGAAAAATACAAATGTGCCCAGACCCCATTTATCCAGCCCCAAACAAAATGAAAAGCCAGGGTCTGCTCTGAACCACACGACTAACCTCCAAGGCCACCATGGTCACAAGGGTACAATTTGAGCCCCAGAGGAGCTCCCTCAGCAAGTCTATGAACGAGGCCAATGGACGTCATTCTTGCAAAACAACTGGAAAGACCTTGTCTGTAGTTTACAAACCAAGAGAAGAGCGTCTGAAGCAGAAGGAGATGGCCAGAGAGAAAAATGAAACCAGACTTCAGCTGGCTTAATAGGTTAGTGCAATTAAGTAAGGAAAGGCCCTGGTTTCAGAAAATGAAAGCATTTAATATTAACCCCTTATAGTCCAGCTCGAGGAATTAAGGAAATTGTCTTAATGTTAACAATGGTTATTTCCAGTTGTATTATGAGGGATTCTTTAAATCCCCATAGCTTCTGTATTTTCTAAATTCTCTACAATGAATAATATATTTTCTCATCAGAAGGGGAAAGTATTTCTTTTAAACACACCATCCCTCCTGGCCCATGACCTTCGCCTACTAAACCTTAAGTCTTAGTTAACAACCCTTGAGGATTTTTGAAGGGAGACCCTCGTCCCCAGCTCTCAGCCCTTTGGCTCTAGCCACACCCAGAGAAGCCTTCCTATTAGGAGAAGGAAATATGTTACTTGGCTTTGGATGGTTTCTCCATTCTTCCTCTTCTTAGTGGCTTGTCTGGGCTGGGACCCAGCAAAATCCTGGTGTCTGGCTGTATCTAGATCCTGGATATAAGCTTCTGAGTTTCAGAGTGATCTGATGTGAGACTATTTGGGGGTGTGGCTGAATCAACACTCATTGGTGTGCACCACTGTTCTGAGCATCATGTTACCTATTACAATCAAAGGTGCAAAGGCAAACTGTCCCAAGGAGATCAATCTGTCAGCGCTCCTAGCCACGCCCCCTCCCGCTCCCTTCAGTGACAGGACTAAGGGCTAAATGCCTTCAAGCTTCAAACTCCTGTTCTTCTGAGAATTATATGGTAAGACTATCTCATCTCAAGGAAAACACATTAATAAAATCATTTAGTTCGTTTGGCTGTCTAACAGAACTTTCTGTGATGATGAAATGTTCCATGATCTACACTGATCAATATTTAGCCACTAACCCATGTAACTACTACTGAACCTTTGAAATGTAGTTAGTGCAACTGAATGGATTTTTTTTAACCACATGTGACTAATGGCTACTGTTTGGGACACTTTAGTTTAGAATCCCAAAATGTCATACCTAGAAAGAACCCAAGAAATCAACTGGACCTGTAATTCTCAAACTTTACAATTATAAGACCCATTCTTAATATCAAAGACATATTCAGACCTTTCTCATATTAACAGAACATTCAGTATCTGTTTATTAAGAACATCATAATGACCAAAATTAGCAAAACTTCACTAACATTTTAAGTTACATTTTAATTAAGAAAATCATGAAAATCAAAATTAGTGATTCAAAAACAGTTTTAATTGCATTTTAATTAAGAAAAGCATAGTGATCAAAATTAGTAAAAATTCAACAACACTTTAAATTACATTTCATTACTTACAACAGCATCCTCATATACATATGTAATGGATGTGTATGAGGTATGATTTTGTCCAGCCCTGAGATTTGTCCAACATACTGTTCTTAGTTTCTCTCCAATAACTCACAGCCCCTCACTGCCATTTCCAAGAATGCACAGCTCGATGTGAAAACCAATGGCTAAGTTCAACCCCCTGGTTTGAGAGAGAGAGAAAACGGAGCCCAGGAAAGGAGAAGACCTGTCCAAATCACATAGCTAAGAAAGAGTAGAGTCAGCCTGAGAGCCCAGTCTATGCTCTTTTCACTCTGCCACAAAGCTCAAAGAAAAGAAACAGAGCCGGAAACTCATAAGGAACACACAGCTGGCTAAATTGAAAATACCTCTCTGCTCTTCTTTCTCTTGAGAACTTGGAAGACTAGAAGGAGCAGACTTTTGCAATATCAAAAATAAATTTACTGATGAGTAATTACATAAATATGCCTATGAAGGAGCTGTGAGGGAAACAGAATTAGCCCTTTTTATTTCAGTGAAATTCAATAACTTTGAGATTTTTCTGAATCTTTTATAGCTTCCCCAGTCTTTGTTAGCATCTGTGGGCATCCTTCCAGAGACAAGCAATAAAACAAAAATCACCTCTTAAAAATAAACCATGTTTGAAAGCCCCTTTCAGTGACAGCAAGCATGGCGCAGAAGAAAGAGCCAAGGAGTTCTCTTCAGTTACAGTGGCTACCAAGTTCACTGGGAGGAAGAGAGGGTCTCAAACCCAGAACTCTGACTCCCATTCTCTATTTTAATTACACCATGCTGTCTCCAATTTCACACACTGCCCTGTTTTTCAGGATCACTGGGGCTGGCAGGAAAGTTTATTGAAGTCAGTTCTAAGGATTTAGTGTAATTAGCTCTCAACTTTACAGCCTTCTCCCTTTGGAGTCCCATAGCATTTTATTTATTTATTTATTTTAAACTTGACCACAGTGACTAAGACCCTGGACTGAATCAAGACTCTGATACTTATTAACTACAGAGAGCTTTGTAATTTGTGGCACGTCTCTTACTCTCAGTTTTCTTATCTGTAAAATGGGGATAAAAATTCATTGCATAGTCATGCTGAGAAATTAAAGATGATTCTCAGAGCACCTGAGTGGCTCAGTCAGTTAAGCGTCCAACTCTTGATTTTGACTCAGGTCATGATCTCAGGGTTCTGAGATAGAGCCCTGTGTCGGGCTCGTGCTGGGCGTGGAACTTGCTTAAGATTCTCTCTCTCCCTCTCTCTGCCCCTCCCCACCCCACCCCCACTCATGCATGCTCTCTCTCTCTCTAATTAATTAATTAAAGATGATGCTCATACATTTCTTAGCAGAGTGCCTGGCCGAAAAAAGTCAATGCTCTCTGAGACAGAGTATTAGAATTAATCATGCTTGTGTCCCATGTTAGACTATAAACTTTGAGAAGGTAAAGACTTTGCCTTTATTTCCCAGCCACCTCCAACCCCCATAGGTGCAAAGCTCTAAGGTGCAGTGCAGGTGTGCGTGTGGAGGTGTGTGTGTTTGTTACAAATATCAGCTTTGGCATCAAACTTCCCCGGGAAGGAAGGCTCTAACCTGGCTCCGGGACTTACTGGGTTGTTTTTCTTTTATTTAATTTCATTTTATTATGTTATGTTAGTCACCATACAATACACCATTAGTTTTTGATGTAGTGATCCACGATTCATTGTTTTTTTTTAACATTGACAAGTTTCTTGATATCTCTGGGTCTCAATTTTCTCATCTGTTAAATGGGCTTAATCCATTAACTTGTAGCTTAATCGTGAGAATTAAAGGACCCTGGGAGGTAATGAACACTCATAAAGGCTGGATCTTTTCAGGATATTCGTGTGTCATCCCTGCTCCCACCTAAGGAAGGCACCATGTAACACTTATGCTAGAGGTAGCTAATAAACAAGGACCTAGGGAGTGATTTTCAGTGAACTCCCTTATTTGCTCACTCCATGACAAAGAGCTTCCCCACTGCCAATAGAAGCCAGAGGCAAGCCACCATAAACCCAGGGTGTTTTGCAATAACAGACATCACGGCACACATACCAGCTGTTCCCCCAGGAAGGGGACATTTGACCTGCAATTCTCTGGAATAAAACCAATAGTCTGTTTGCCAGGGTGCACGGTTATTCAAAATAACTGCACACCAGAGAGGCAGCCTAGTGCAGACATCAGGCTACTGATCTGAGAGTCCGAAGACCTGAGTCTGAGAATCTGATCTCACCAGTAACTAGCTGTGTGCCCTTGGACGGGCCATTTCGCTGCTCTGGGCCTCTTTCCCTTTGTCTCAAAAGAAGGGCCTACACTAGGCATTCTCCACGGATCACTGCAGCCCCTCTGTTTTGCTGTTCTAAAATGAGCTAATTAGCAAAATGAATACAGAATGCAGAGCCAGAAAGACCAGGTTCAAACCCCTAGCTGGTTGACTCTGATCAAGCTTCTTAATCTCTCTGACCTTGGTTTTCTCATGGGTAGAATGGGGATAATAACCTGGCTGTTGGAGGGTTGGAGATAGTGAATATCAAGTACTGGGCCATTGGAAATATTCAGGAAGTGCTGGCTGCTGTGATTATTATTAGCATCATTATCGTGGTCATCATCATTATTAATACTACCTTTCTTTTAAAAGGTGAAGGCCCATGGGGTGCCTGGGTGGCTCAGTCATCGTTAAGCATCTGCCTTCGGCTCAGGTCATGATCTCGGGGTCCTGGGATGGAACCCCGCATCGGGCTCCCTGCTCAGCGGGAAGCCTGCTCCTCCCTCTCCCACTCGCCCTGCTTGTGTTCCCTCTCTCGCTGTGTCTCTCTCTGTCAAATAAATAAATAAAATCTTTAAAAAAAATAAAAAATAAAATAAAATAAAAGGCGAAGGCCCGAAAACATCTTACTGCATAACCATCATGTGGAGTCCAATAGGAATATCAACTCTTCACTAGTAATTTGTCTGAAATTAGTCCATTTCCTTCTCCAGTGTATAACTGCTATTGCTTTTCAATGTTGTCACCTTAACCCTTTTCATTTTCAACCCTTTAACTTTAGTTCCTTAATAACAACCATATAGCTTAGTTCATGAGGAATTTCACATGCATTTTCTCATGGATTCCTGCACCACCATCATCATTTCCACCATAACCATGACATCTCCATTCATCAACACCTGGGGACCTGCAGGGCTGAGCAACTTACCTGAGATCTCAATGCCCACCCAGCCAGGAAGTCACTGGGCTTAGACTTCCAGGTAAGGCTCCTAACTCTAAAGTCCATGATTATTCCACTCCATCAACTTTATGAATTAATTCAACTTTTCCCCCCGTCATTGCTTGGACTAGTGGTAGGACATCTTCCTTTTTTAAAGCAGCGGTCCTTCTGCATTTCTTAAGTGTTTGATTGACACTAAATCCTGAATTTACCCAGTCACATACCATCTAATTTAACCACTTCTGTTTTTTCCCACTAGAAGACATAAAGCAAAATTTAGATGACCTTTCTTCTTAAATTCAAACACCTCAGAAAATGTTATTCTTATTTTTGGTGAATAGGAACAGTGTTTTGGGAGAGTCTTTTGGTTGCAAGAAAGAACTAACTCAAGTGGAGGGTGAAGATTATTTTAGGGATCCCCACTGAATGGAATTCTATTGAACAAAATAATAAAAACTGGCATGGCCTCAGGGAGGTTGGGACTAAAAGGTGGTTCTTGACCTAAGGAAACCCCAGCAGTGCTGCATGCAAAAGGCACTGGATCTTCTCTCCAGTGATCTTCCGTCTTACCATCTTACCATCTTCCATCTACTATCTTACTGTGGAGTGGTCTGGCCTATTACTCATCTATCCCATTGTTCTAACACCATAGACTGGGTGCCTTACTCTTTAGTTCCCCCACTGAAATTCCCTACAGAAATTATATTCCTGGCTCAACTAATTACCATTATTCTCATTTGGAAGAGGTTTTTTGACACAAGGGCACATCTTAGACCATTAATCAACAAATGAATCTACCGCCCTTGGGTCAGGCATGGCTTGAGGTGTCAAACATGGCTGCCTTGGGTTGGGCCCTCAGCTTGGGTAGTGGTTGGATCCATTTTACTTAGAAGGGGCTGTAAGGCACAGCAGGTGCCATGATTACCACTGCTAATATCAACAGTAAAATTTCCCTCTCCAGATGCCCTGGTTTCATATAAATCTTAAAACAAATTGTCACTTTCAGAGAATAACTTTTCATGCTTCCATATGTTTACAAAGCCCTAACTGATGAGGAATCCCAGAGCTGACTATAATAACACCAATAAAAATCACTTCTGTGGATACAGTCCTTCATAGTGGTGGCTGTTCTTTCATGTGCTCTGCTTCTCTTGATTGCTACAGCATCCCGAGTTGACAGGACAGTTATTATTGTCACTGTCTGCTGGAAGAAAAGCTAAAGTTTAAGAGAAATGATAGACCTTAGGCCGTAAAACCAGCTCGTGGTTTATCTGGAACTTAAACCTCAGTTTCCTAAATCAACCTCTGAAGAAATAGAAAACAACCTTTATTTTTAGCTAGTCATGATTAGGTTTTGATGGTTACTGTGTCTCACTGGTCTCCTTTGGTCTACATTCAGAAGCTCATCCATTCTCATGCTGGATTCCTGCAGCATTCTTTTAACCCATCTCCCTGCCCTCATCAACAACCTTTTCAATTCATTCCTCCACAGGCAGCCAGAGAAGTCTTTCTAAACGAGAGTGTTCAACAAATCACCTCCAGGATGACAGGCTCCTTGCTGCCCACAGAATAAGATCTGGATTCCCTCAAAGTGAATTCAGTGTCTTGGGAGGTCCAGCTCTTCTACCTCTTGGTCTTACTGCCCCTGCTCATCACCACTCAGGTTCACACACATCCAGCAGTGCTAGTTCCCAAGCATGGCTTGCAAATCTCCCCCTCTGCATCTTTATGTAAATCACTGTCCACACACTGGATTTAGATGCATTTGGATCACATGATGTTGTAGTGGTTGTTGTTTTATCTAATCCATTGGCAACATCAAGAAAATTCCCAGCTTCTCTTGGAAAAGTAATAGGTCAAGGTAACAGGCAACTGAACCTGAGAAGTGGTTAATCACTTCAAATGGGGCACACCCTCTCCAACTGGCCACAATCCCTATTGTCTTACACCCAACTGGCTTCACTCATGATTGTGATGTGCTTCACCCCTTAGATATTTCAGTTTGCAACCTTTACTATATGTGCTCACCACCAGAAACGTTCTTCCCCATACACTTCTATCAAAATATTAGTAATCTCTCAAGTAATTCTTCCATGAAGTTTATATTGATGCTCTGAGTGGGAATTAATCTCTTCCTCCTTAAAGGTGTTAATTGATACCTCCAGCACCTAAAGAACTTCACTAGATTATAACAGATTTGGGGGCAAGAACTAATTCTTATTTATCATGTACCCTCATGCTGCCTTATACTGTATCTTACTCTTTATAAATGTTCAAAAAATATCTGTTGACTTGAACTTAGTTTAATTTAGTTCAATTGGCATTTAAACTTTCCAGTAGTAGAAGTCAAGTCTTCTGTGATCATATTTTCCCATTCCTCATCTAGATTTGAGCTTTTATTAGTGCCAATAACACCTGCTTCTCACCACACGTCTTATCTACTGAGGAAACTATTTTTCAAAGTTCTATTGATTTAAAAGTTTAAGCTCTTAAATAAATCATCTTCTAAGGAAAAGCAAGAGTGGGAAATTTGCTTTCGCCTTGAGCCCCAGTACTACTCCCCACTGCAGAGTATTTTGCAAGGTCTTCGCAAGAGAAGAGAGAAATACCCAATCTCTACCCTCAGGTGAGCACGGCAATCACCCTGTATCATGTTCTACTCGCAAACTTCAGGGGTGCCTGGCTGGCTCAGTCAGTGGAGCATGTGGCTCTTGATCTCAGGGTCATGAGTTTGAGCCCCACGTTGGGTGTAGAGATTCCTTAAAAATAAAATCTTAAAAAACCAAACGAAACAGAAACCACAAACTTCAGTTTCCTCAAATAGTACATACATTTCTTACACACATTTGCCCATGAGAACCTACTGTCCTCTTATTTCATCCAAGTTACATTCTTAGGAGCTAATTCCTCTTATTTTTGGATGTTGACTTTTTAAATAACTTTACCCTTTCATTCAACCAAGCATCTAACAATTTATCAGGCACTGTGCTTGGTTCTGGACAAAACAGTCATACCCTGTTCTGACAAAAACACGTATGTTTTGTTCTCTGCTCCTGGGAGGCTCACAGCTTCGTGGGGGAAACAAACAAATCATTTAGGGACATTTTATCAAGAGCTATACATGAACAGAGCAAGAGCAGATCCTTGCCACCACATTTGTTGTGTATGATGTGTTTGTGTGGTGCAGTCTTTGTGTGCATACTGCTGTTCTGACATTCAGCTCATATAGTGAACATTTATAACTGATTTCTCTGCCTGCAGTCTTGTTAGAGGAGGCAGTTACTTAGGTTCTAACAGGAGACCAGGAGGTCAGCAACGAGGAACTCATGGCCAGCTATCAGGAAGGTCAGAAGCCTGTCCTGGCAGCACACGATAAGAAGCCAGCCAGGTCGAAACAGGCCCAAGATGGCCAGGAAACCCCTGGCCCAATTAGTAAGAAAAAGTGGGAAAACTGCTTCACCTCCTTAAGTAATCAATATTCCACCCCCTAGTTAACAACTATCAATAAAATATAGAAATCCAACCCCCAGAGAGTGCAGCTCTCACCCTCCTGCTCGCCCCCCTCTCATATCTCCAGAGTGCACTTTCCGATTTAATAAACATTCCTGCTTGTGTCACTCATCCTCTGTGCTGTGTGTCTGTCCTTGAATTCATCCTCATGCCAAGACCAAGAACCTTCTGGCCTGGCTGGGTCTAGGCCCCATGGCCCAAGGTCTCCTCAGTTCACCCGACAACAACCTGAACTTCTTCCCTAAGCTTTGATTATCAAGAAGAAATAGGGGCTGCCGCTTCCCAGAGTAGGAAGAGCATGCTTAAGACTCGGGAACTCCTTTGACTGCCTCTCCTATAATCATGCCCTGTGAGAAAGTCACTGGATGACCACTCCAGCCCCACACAGGCAGAATGATGGAAAGTTCATGCACAATACAGACTTGGGCCACCCCATCAGATCATGAGCCACAACCAGTTGAGTTGCTGACTGCCAAGGGGACACAGCATGGGCCCTAAAGGAGGGAAGAGATACCAGCACCTATGACCTTGTGGTCTCTTGATGAAGTGAGGCCCATAGCCCTTCCCTGCACCTCTACGTCCTTCCTTCCTGCATTACGTACTATGTGTGTGAGTATGTGTATACAGAAACAGCCCCGTCCCCCTTATGTGGCCTGCCCATTATACACAGAGTGTAGTGGTGATAGCAAACTTTATAATCTAATCCAGGGGCCAGCAAACTTCAGACGGCAGGCCAAATCCAGCCCACTGCAGATTTTCATGAATAAAGTCTTCTTGGCACACAGCCACACCCACTCATTTACATATCTGCCAAGGCTGCTGTCATGCCACGGTGGCAGAGAATAACCTAGACAAACACTGTGGATCGCTACAATTCTGACACCAATTCCTCTGTGTCTGTTTTTTCTGCACCACCAAGCAAGTTTCCGACACCAGCTAGATGTCCCACAATTCAACTCTGACACTATCTCCTGGAAAGAGCACCTGATCCCACCGGTTAAGGGCTTAGTCCTATAAGACTGAACCCTGCCCCCCATCAGATGCCAGTTGCAGGTCCAGGTTGTTCCCTGAGCTTCTGACAAACTGGATGTAAATCAGAGGTTCCCATGACCTCCTCCTTGGGTTCCATTAATTTACTAGAGCCGCTCACAGAACTCAGAAAAACAGTTTACTTACTGCTTACCAGGATATAGTTAAAGGATATGATAAAGGATACAGCTGGATAT